CATTTATTTGGAAATGTGTTATTTCGTGCCATCACAAAACTGACATCATATACATTTTGGATGGACGCGGTTTGGCGCGCAGAGAGGCAGGCAGAGGATGATGAGGAGAGAGCGTGACTGGTTCCGACTTCACCTCTAGCTCAGCATCACAAAGCAAGGCGGCGTACATTTGCCCATACAGTACGGCATTGTCGTACCTGATTTGGTAGGCAAAAGATGTGCGCATCGTCCTGCGTGAAGCCTCGCACTCTGAAGAGCCCGTGCATGGTCCCACTCCGCTCATAGCTGGGAGGGAGGTTGGAGGGGGAATGGCAAGGGGGGCGGGGTTGAAACACAAAGAAACAAACACAAAAATGCATCAAAATGGTCAAAATCAGGTCCACAGAAAACTGTAGGAATTTCCAACACCGACAGAAAAAACTGAAAATGTAAACAAAACTCGCTTTCTGCCTTTCACCTTTCCTCCTCCCACACACCCCCTCCTCCCACCCCCATCCTTCGTACCGGTACACCGTACCCAGCTCCGCCAGTCGCAGAGGCAGGTCCCTGTACGAATAATATCCGTCCTTGTATACGGAAATATGGAAGGGGCAGTTCATAGGACGAAGCTGGTACGACTCATCCTCCACCTGGGGAAGATGCGGGGGGAGGGAAATAAAAGAGTGAGGGGAAGATGTGTATCATGTGTATTATGTGTATGAGCCCGTGTCATATCATTGGTCATGACCCAGGTTATCATCGGTATACACCATTCCGAGGTAGGAGAACACTACTATGTCGTACTTTATTGCCGTACCTTCATCTGCTCGTACATGTTCTCCTTGTAAAACTCCAAGTGACCAGAGGTCCGCCACAGATCGGCCTTTGCGGCGGCGGTGGGAAGAGGGGGAGGAGAAAGAGGAACAAACGGGAATAGGGGGAGAGTGTACGGCAATTAGGAAAAGGGGACATTGGACGACATTCCAATCCAAAATATAAATAATAAAGGATTTGACCAATGACCTAGATGGGCAGGGTTGGATGGATAGCAATGGACGCCGGCGGGGACTGTCCATTCAATCTCCAAAAACACAATACACACGTTGCCGCACTGCGGGCATTAACAAACACCCTCCCTGCCACCTCCCCCCCCCTCCAATACACACACAACATCAACAAACACGCTAATCCGCCCACTATCATCATCGCATGCACCCAGAAACTGCCATGCATTGTACGAACAAACATACAGTCGTACTATGCCGTACACTACCTTGGCAATGTGTGGTGAGTAAACCAGCTGGTAGCCGCGAGAGAGGTGAAGTTCCTTCCAGAACGTCTCGATCAGGTGCCGTACAAGTGCACCCTTGGGATGCCAGTAGACCAGACCGCCGCCTGGAGGGCGGCAGTTGTGGGTGGTTGACAAAACAGTTGTATGGTGTGTGTGTATGTGTGTGTGTATGTGTATGTGTGTGTATACATACATGTGAAGGTTAGTACGAATGTCTATCTGACCGGGCCTGACGACACTGGCTGGTCAGGGGCTGCTGCCTGCTGCCCCAACGGAATGACCGCCTGAGCTCCCTCTCCCGCGCGGACGGGAGAGGGGCGTGATGTGTATTGGGCATGTGTGTGTATGTAAGTCCTCTGTAGCATGCGTTATGGTACCCCGTGTGTACGGCGTGTGTTGTGGGTTGGGGTATCGGGTAGGGTACGGCAGTTTCAGTTTCACATTTTCTGGAGATCGGTTTCTTTTTGAGCGAGTGGCCACCCCCTTCCGGTTGCACATATTTCATATTGCCGTACTCCGTACAACCACCATCGTACAACGACAATAACTACCCACCGCTGTTCTCCTGAATACTGAACAGGTTGAGCTCCGTTCCCAGCTTGCGATGGTCGCGCTTCGCCGCCTCCTCCTGCGGTTGACAGTTGGTCACAGTTGGGAGTTGACCGGAGTTGGCAGTTGGTAATCGTTAAAGGGGATTCTGGGTGTAACGCTTTCAACTTTCAGTTACAACAACTACTACGAAGGCGGCCGTCCTACGGAAGCGGCAACGGCAACGGCAGGCGGAAAACCCATCATCCACATCCCATCAGTCACATCCGTCGTATCCGTCATATCGTGGCGAACATCCTCTCCTCTCCCCCCTGCCCCCGAGGGCACCACACCACACCACACCACACCACCGGCTCCACTACTCCACCACTCCGGCAAGTACACCAGCAGCTGCAGGTCCGCGGGTGATTCCTTGCTTCTTGCTTCCCCCCCAAAAGAAAAACACATCTCATTCGACACACCAAGGACACACACACACACACGCACATACACCCATTCCCCACCCCATCCCAACCCCCACACTTGATCCTATCCTGCAAAACCCCGCATCTTTTTCTCCCCCCTCCCCCAACACCCCGGTTGCGTCGGTCGGCTATAGCCGGACTGGGATAGTTGGGTCGGTCGGGTCGGTCGCGTGTTGGGGGGTTGGGGGGCTGGGAGGAGCACTTGCATGTCACCAGCAGCTCATTGCCAGCAGCTTATCAGCAAGTTTTGGTCCAGGTTTCTAAATTCCGCCGCCATCACGGCCGGCGAGCCACTTTTCCAGCTTACGTCACCTCTTCCTCAGCTCACGTCAGCTTTTTGCTCTTCGCCGCCTTTACACCTACCTCAAGAATATGACGGTATGTTTTCCTTTTGCTCTCTTTCCGCACTTTATTCTAATCTTGGCGGCTAGGTAGGTAGTTTTCCGCTGTCGCCATGACTACTAACATCATCCCGAGGACGGCTTCTTCACAACCGCCGACTGGTTAGTTCTGCGCTCTTTACATCTGCCGCAGCACTCTTTCCTTCTGGCATCAGCTTCACTCGCTCGTGGGGTTCGTCTTTACCCCCCTCCTCCCGAATCCCCGCCACACACACACACAGACACACAAACCACCATCACCACCATCCAAGCTGACAGCCGCACCGACCGACCGACCGGTACGTCGGGACGAGGCGTCGGGACAGGGACACACATACGTCGTACAGATATCGTACCTTGAGTTGCTCGTACGCCTTCAGCTGCTCGGGTGTTTCCCACGCGGTGCCGTAAATCCTCGTCAGCATCTCGTTCTGCTCGTTCCCTCGCCAGTATGCTCCTAGCGGGGGAAGGGGGCGAGGTAGGGGAAGGGTGTGTGTGTATGTAATAATAATAATATTGGGCCTTCAATGGACGAGTGCATAAAACTTAACTAAAATAAAAATAACAAACCAATTTCTTCAGCCCCGTTACGTTTCTCCTCCATTTCCCCAATGCCCTCCTGCCCCCAATGCCATTCCCCCCTAAAGAACAAACAACACACACACGGGCACATACACCTATACACGTATACAGCCCCCAAACTACACCCAAACCTTTCTTCCCTCCCTCCCTCCCTCCCTCCCTCTCTCCCCCTCCCCCCACCCCCCAAACACCACCTCCCCAAGCACACGGGCAAAGCGCACCGGCAATGCTCTCCAGCTCCACCGCGTCCGGGTTGATGTCCCCGGTTCGATTCACATGGGGACCCGCGCACAGGTCCCACCAGGGCTTGACACCACCGGGGGCGGTGACGGGGGGGTTGTTGGTGGTGGTGGTGGTGGCAGTGGTGGCGGAGGGGGAGGTGGGCTCCCCGATGTGGTAAATGGTGATGGATGCGCGCGCGTCGCGCTAGGTGGGGGGAAGGAGATGGGAAAGGAGATGGGAGTTGTCTGTGTGTGTGTGTGTGTGTGTTTGGGGGGGGGGGGATAATGGAAAGCATAAAGCAGAGATGGTATTCTTTAATGTTTTACTGTTATGAAAGGTTCGGTTAGTGGTTGCTTTTTTTTACGTAATGTAAAAGGCAGAAAGGAAGACCGCATCCGGGGGGTATGGGAGGGAGTCAGGGAAAGGAAAAAACCCATACCGTACGGATGTACGGGCGGATAACAATTCTGTCAATCTCTTACACCGCTCTAAATCTTTTAGGGTATGCAACAACAATTATCTCCGTACATTTGCCGTACCTGCAGAATGGACTGCAATATCTCCAACTTGTACGGCTCCCCGGCAGCTCGGATCCGCGCCTCGGCTTCCTCCGGCGTCACCTAAAACACAACCAACAACCAACAACCGATAACGAATTTGCATGTTTGTTCGTTTGAAATCATGCCCACATTACCACTTGAGCAAGTGAGGCGGGGCGGGAAGGGCGAGGAAAAAAGGCCCCAATCTGCGTATCGAAAAAGATTATACGTACGTAGAAATGAACGAACAAACGAACGAATGAATAAATTAATAAATAAATCTCCTCATTCCGTACGAATGGGATCAGTTGCCAACAGATCAGAAAACCTTCACCCTCCCAAAAGAAAACCAAACCTCCTGCCACCTCCGTTGCCGTACCTCCTCCCGTACGAATGGCAGATCTGCCCTGATGATCTTGGCCATCTCCTTTTTGATCTTTTTCAGATCTTTCTCCGTGATGGGGCTGTCTGCCGGCCAGTGGAAGTCGTAGAAGAAGCCGCGGTCCGTCCAGGGCCCTATGGTCACCTGGCCCGTGTGTGTCGCGTTGTGTTGTGTTTCGGGGTTTTTGGTGTTGAGGCGATGCGATGGGGTGGGGTGGGGTGGGGGCATTAGTGGTAATTTTTCAGGGTGCAAGGAGTGTCGCAAGTGGTGGAAGAGGGGAAACACTGCACTGGTGGCATCATAATCATCATTATTAACTACTTACAGCCACTCCCCCACACGCCCTCACACGCCCCCGGATGTCTCTCTGGGATAACCCTCGGCGTGTCACCCACCCACCGCATGTGCAACCCCTTCTGTCTGTCTGTCTGTGCGTGTGACGTGTTTCGCCTTCACAAATCATCACACACAGCAACAGGATTTGATGATGCGCACCTGTAGGCCCCGCACCCCTTCAGAACACGCCCAGACAGACGGATAGACAGACGGACAGCTAGGCCGACAGACAGACAGACGCACCTGCACGCCCTTGTACAGCCGCTGAACCGCCATGGCCATGATGTGGGCGCACTGGGGGGGGAGGTGAGGGGGGAATGGAGGGGGTGAGGGAGGGTGAGAAGCTCGTGCTACTACCCGCTGAGGAAAGGGAAGGAAATTCAAAAGAGCCAGGCTGTTGAGCCAGAGGAGGAGGAAAGAAAGGGATGTACGGCAACGTGGAATAACGGCCACCCCGCGGCGAGGAGAAGGTAGGAGAGGGCCATGAGGTTCACTGAAGAGAGCGGTAGCGGCGTGACCCCGAGCGCGACACACCTAACTATAGTTGGCGATATTGCAAAAAGTAAAGAAGCAATCAACTGCCGTCGCCAAGAGCGGATCGATGACACCGAAGAGGGGGAGGGGGGGATTAAGGAGGGGGACTAAGGAGGGAGGGAGGTGAGGAGGGGGGTGGCCTGTTGAGAGCTACAAAGAAAGAGGCTGGGCTTCAGAGGCCGCGAGAAGGGGATTAAGGCCGCGACGGGGCATAGAAGCCCCACAGGAAAATCGAGGGGATGAAGGCGATGTGAAAGGGAGGGGGATAGCGGATGCTTTTGAACGCTTGCTTGACTGGGCTCCAAATCGGTCTTTGTGGTCTGACCCAAATCAGAGAGGACAAAGGACGCGGAGCTGTAATAGAGTATGTGGGCTTTCCAAAGGGGCTTTGCAGGAGCACACTAGACCGGCCGGTGTCATGCCTGACTCACGCTGTGACGGATGCGCAGCAGCTGCTCTGACTCGTCGCTAGTCTTCAGCTCCATAAAGACAGACTGCTTTATCGTATTTGATGTCTGCGCAAGCGACGTCTCCGTAGCTGCTGGAGCCTCCACCATTGCTGCAAGCAGAGGTGCTGCGTTCCGGCCCCACGAAGACTGCATCCGTGAAGCGACTCCAGTCGCTGCAGGTCGCTCGTGATTCCATGCGTAGGAGCTGCTGGTAACCGGGCCGGTTAAAGCTTGAGACGCCCGAAGCAAACCCAAAGCGCCCCGCCTGCAGGACGCGCAGGCGGCGTTTGCGCGCTGATGGAGAATAGGCCTCATCGTGTCGCTTCTGCAAATTTGCGTTGAGTCAACGTGTGGAAGCAGAACTGATACTCCTGACAGAACTCCGTACGGTCTCTCCGGAACCACAAACAGTCAGCGAATTACAGACAGCATATCACACTTACACAACGCTCTTGCACATCATCGCTAGGCATGTTTAATACTTAGGCTGAACAAGGATACAAGCACATCATAGAGCTATTCTGTGACACGTCTCTGTTTAGACGACCTGAGGCAATTGCAATCAGCCACTACGCTACCTGATATCATGCTCGTGCGACGATAGGTGTACTTGTTGGTGCTTGGTATTATATTGTTGGTTACCAAAGCCACGTATCGATCCCCATTGGCCCGTCCAAATATATCTTGATTTTCTGTCACCTTGTACCATTTGTTTTTTCTTTGTAAGTTGCACGGGATGCCTGGATGCCCCACTACCTTGCACGTTGGAGCAATTCACCGCTGACTGGCCGAGGCGCAACTTTTGTCCTACCACAGCGCAAAACATGGCGTATACTATGTATATGAAAGGGCTACATAGACAGATTTCAACGCGTGTGAGAATGCGGCAATAGGCTCTTGGCATTTAACCGCAAGACATATTTGGGTTGGCTTTGCGGTGTATGCGGGAGAAGAGTCTGCGTAAACCAAAACGTCTGGGAGCCACGCACGTGCAGCGTGACCAATTAACTCAACCCCCAAATGCCCTCACTCCATCATCGTCACCCTCAGCACAGCCGGAACGTGCCTCTCGCCCTCGCGCTGCTCGTCCCATTTGGGGATACCTTAGGCCGCATAATCTGTTTCAAAAGTTTTGAAGTACGCCTGTGTGAGCATCCCTGACCCAGATGGCATATGTCCCAAACGTGTGTGTATATATGTATGTGGCTGCTAGCTCGTCCTTGGTCCCCTTCTGGCCTTTACAGGTGCCTTATGCAAGAACGCGTGGCGTGTACTTTGTAAGCACCTGAGAAACCCCCCTTAGGGGGGAACCTTGCCCGGGGGAAAGGCGGGGCGAACACGGAGGGGTCATCGCACCAGGGGGATGGGGAGCCAGAAACCTCCTCCAACCCGCCCACGCCTCCTCCTCCGTCTCCTCCTTCGCCGTACGACCGCAACTACCCAATCATCATCGCAACTGATTGAGCGATGAAACCGTTACATCATTAAGTAATTCCGTGCATCCTCGCATTCAGTCTCGCTGCCTCCTTCCTAGGCTTACTCTCTCTCCCTACTCTTCTACTTCCCTCCTCGTACACACACACAGACACACACACAGACAACACAAATCATTCAAACCATCGCGTCACATTACATCGCAAAAACACCTAAAAACGTCACAAACAGTACCCAGCCGACAATTGCAGTATGCTAATCCCCTCAGCAGCTCCTCATTCTAAACCATATCGATTCAGTTAATCAGTTACTAATCACTCAGTCAGCCAGTCAGTTAGTCCTTCAGTCTACCAAACGTTTTACGACATTCATCTCAACATAACCCTTCGCCCACTGAAACCATGTCCGGAGAACCTGCCGTACACAGAACGTCCATAACTGCTGTACAGAATCACCAGGTGAATCCGGCGGCGTCATCGTTGACGGATTGACGACCCCCATACCCCCCCTCCCGGGAACAGGACGGCTTCCATGTTCAGCAATCTAACACCCCCCCTCCCAACTACCCCACCATCACTTCACTACCCGACACTCAGCGCCCTCAGAGCTCTCCGGGTTCATCTATGTTCCCCCCCCAACTCCCCGTCCCCCTCCCCCCACCCCGGCTGCACGTCGTTCTGATGCCCCCCGGCCCCCGCCCCTCCCCCCCGCCCCCTTCAACCCCCCGACTGCGGCAGCCGTGGTGCCGGCCGTGTTGGCCGTGTTGGCGGCTGTAGCACAACTGCTACTGTG